TGCCGTAATCGATCAGTACTTGGGTGATTACCTTACAATCACCAGCTACCAGAGGCCCAACTTCGTATATGCTCAGCAATCTGCTATAACCGAAGGCACCAAATTCTACACAGCTTACGCCAATAACGTTCACCTTAGATTTGGCCAGCATCCTCATCGTGCCGTCAACGCACTACTTCGCATACGGTAACGAACAGCAGATTTGAGACGAGATTTGTCTGCACAAGGTATGGATGATGACGAAATCAAGCATCGTATCCGTCAAGACATCTTTTTACCAGCACAGACATTCAAGCAGGCTATTTCGCAGCAACCTATAGATACGGAACAAACCCCTCAAGAACCTATTTATATGGAAGCTCTTAACACTCTTCGGCCTGTTTTTGATGCTTATGATAGAGGCTACAACTTTGGCGAACAGGGACTTTATTATGACGTCAAGCGTAACCCTGTCAGTCACTTTATGGCCTTCTATCAACTCTCTCGTCTCTTTGTACATTTTGGTTTGCCCGTCTTCAATTATTTTCCTCTCCGGCGCCCATGGTCTCCTTGTTACGTTACTATCGACAGCAAGATTCTCTGCCAAAACATCCTGGGAATTCGATGGTCTAATGCTGTCGATAAACTGGACTACTGGCGCCGAGTTGTCAACCTTGACTCAAAAGCCCTCAAGCCGCAAGAAGGTGGACAACTTAGATTCCGTGGCACTATTCAAACTGATGGCGTTGGTGTCACGGTCCTCAAGAAGAGGTTCGATAGGCAAACAAGATACACGGCAAGGCTCACAGTGGAGTATGAAGCTACCTCCTACATCACCAATCTAACTCGTCGAAATCATCAAGAGATTTCTGGTCGATGCGTCGCTATGGGCCCAGGAAGAAGAGATATGTTGTATTTTGTACATGAAAACTCTACACCAGAGCAATCAGTGAAATTTCGGTACACTAAACAACAGCAAGACAAGACGTGGAAAACCAAAAAGTACCGTCGAATCTTGCAAGATCTCAAAGCCCAGGATCCTGATGTCGTTCAAGCTTAGCAAGCCCTTTCTCAACAGCCAAGCAGCGCCGTATCCGTAGAAGACTTTGGCCGCTTCCTTCAAGCCAGATCTGAACAGTCTGCCGTTCTCAGTCGATTCTATGGACATACCATCACAAACCATGATAATGGATACCCCCTCTTTCGCAAGATCTGCCTTTCAGCGTACTTTAACAAACAACGTGCCAATCAAAAGCTTATTCAAGATTTACGCGCCAAGTTTGGAGAAGAAGCCGTGTTTGTGGTGGGAAACTGGTCCGCTCCCCATGCTAGGTATCATGAGCCCATCCGTGGCCTTGGTTTCCAAAGACTCCTCAAGAAACATGGGCTCCAAGTCTACCTTATAGACAAGTACAAGACCAGTAGGTGCTGTCCAACATGCCACAACGAGAGCCTCCACACGTTCCGTCGTGTTCCAAATCCACGACCGTATCAACGTGAGCGATATCCTACTATTGTCTGCCATGGCCTTTTAAGGTAATAGTACATGAACCACTTGTATGACTTTATACTGATTGAACATTGCTTGTAGATGTACCAATCTATACTGTAGACCCGCCATGGCAGCTCCAGATAGATATCGCTTATGGAACAGGGATGTTGCTGCTTGTCTCAACTACATGCACATCCTTCGTGAGCTTCGACGTAATGGCATGGTTCCTCATAGGTTTCGCCGGGTTGCTGTTGCTCCTACAAGACGTCGAAGAAGAGTGGACGATCAGGAGCAACCAAGAACTAGAATACGCTTAGACGATGATTCTCCGTCCTAGTTATCGCTAGGACACATCTAGATGCCTTCGGGGTAAGTTGTATATAATAATTTTCTTACATAACTAACTGTATAATTCTTTATATTCTCTCCTTGGTACTTGTTATTTTCATTTGTATGTCGTCTCCTTTTGCACACATTTTATTTTTAACCTTTGCATAAATACTTTTTTTAATATGCGCCAATTATTTTTTTCATACACGTCATAATTTTATCCTCTTTCAGATCACCTAGGATGCAAAAGCCTTATAAGTCTCTTCAGGCTAGCCATGCTTTTAGCTTATCACCTGATCGCTCTCATCTGATTCCCAAAGCATGGGTGAACGAGCAAAGACAACCTTCTCAGGGTCGTAATCGCATCCGAAAGTTGGTTCGCCTTCTTTTAGCCGGACAGCTTACTTTACATCCTTTTTTCGCCCGTCTTTGTTTACCGGGCAGTGTTGTGGCTGCTGTTCCATTGTCTCTCTCTGAAGTCTGTGGCCAATTAGTCCATCCTTGGATCGAGCCAAACTCTGATACTATTCTGCCTCGTAATTTTCGCAAGCATCACCAACAGCTGCTACAACAATCT